TGAACTAGCAGAACAGGCAGCACAAGAACTATTTGAAATAGAACCTGAGAATCCAGCTACCTACGTCAGTATGGCTAATATTTATGCCAGTGCTGGAATGTGGGATGAAGTAGCAAAAACCAGGAAGACCATGCATGAGAGAGGAGTGGTAAAGAAGCCAGGATTTAGCTGGATTGAGATCAAGAGAAAGGTGCATGTGTTCTTAGTGGGAGATACTTCCCACCCGAGGTCTAAGGAAATACATGAGTTCCTGGGAGAACTCTCAAAGAGAATGAAGGAAGAAGGATATGTTCCTGACACCAATTTTGTGCTACATGACGTTGAGGAGGAGCAGAAGGAACAAAACCTCTCCTATCACAGTGAGAAGCTTGCAGTTGCTCTTGGAATCATCGCTACTTCTCCAGAAACTCCAATCAAGGTCTTTAAGAATTTAAGAACTTGTGTAGATTGCCACACTGCCATTAAATTTATCTCGAAGATTGCCAAGAGAAAAATTATTGTGAGGGATTCAAATCGGTTTCATTGCTTTGAGGATGGAAAGTGTTCTTGTGGAGACTATTGGTGATTCATACCACCTACTAGTCCTTCGGCTATTTATGACATGACCATACAAAGATAAAATGCACCCAGCCACGGAACCTGTGTCATCTTTGTCAACATTCAGGAAACTTCACATAAATCAATTTGAGCGAAGAAAGAGGTGTTTAACATCTTTTTAACTCTGAATCAGGATTTCCACGCATTCCAGCAGAGACGAGGGTCTCTGTGGTGCCTAGTGTTGTCTGCATGGGATCTTGTACGTGAACAAGAACATCAGTGTTTCCAGTTGATTTTCTTCGCAGCTGGGGCAAGCCATGCAGCAAAAGATATAAAGGTTTCGGTATTTTATAGTTTTTCTTTTCCTGAGCTCTCCATGAAAAATGGTTTAGCTTCTGAGGATGGAAAGGAATATTGTATTTGCTTTATTATTATGCAATTCTTTGCGAAGAGTTTTTCCAAATTATGCAATTCATCAAATCTGGATTGCAATTCGCTCGAGCTTCATGTAGATGGGCTTAATGAGTGATGAATGGAAATATTTTTTCCTTTCATGATCTAGATTTGTATATCTTCATATGAAAATATTTATAATGATAAAAAAAAAGGATTCTCAAAAATGATGAGAATTAAGCGGAAGCCAGTTCAAATTCGTATCTTCTTGAATCACCGTGATCTTCAAATTCTTGAAATATGCCTCCAGATTTGCCCACTGAAGTGCTGTCTCTTCATCACATAGCACTTCCAGGTGCTCAAGCTTCCCAATTGACAGAGGCAACTCACAATTTGTGCAATTGTTCATGAACAGCCTTCTCAAACTACACATTTCCCCAATCTGTGTTGGCAATTTGCCAATGCTTACACAGTCAGATATGTTTAGATGTCTCAAGTTTCTGAGTCTTCCAATGGTGTCAGGCAACTCTGACAAATCGATACAAGAACTTAGCCTTAATGTTTCCAAGTTCATCAGATTCCCAATTCGACCTGGCAGTGTAGAAATCTTATGGCAATTTGTGATGCTGAGCTTTTTCAGTTGGATGAGGTCACAGAATCCATCTGGGAATTCTTTCATGGCATTGCAATAATCAATGTCAATCTCCACCAAATTTGGAAATGAATCAGAAATCTCACTGAAACCCTCACCAGTATCACACATGACTAGACATATCTTCTGTAGATTCTTGAGACGTAAACTGTTGAAAGAAAATGAAGGGACTGAAATCTTCTCTAATCTGATTCTCTTCAGATTAGATAAGGATCCAACTAGTGGAAAATTACAAATTTGTGTGGGGAAGAAACCGTAATTTGTGACCACCAGAACTTTTAGTTCATCCAATTTTTCAATGAATACAGGTAACTTATAATTCTTTGACTGAAAATTTAGAACCAAAGCTTCAACGTGAGGCAGTTGAATCTTGTGCCATCTCGATGAGAATGCTTCATCCGTGGAGATAGACATGAGGCAGGCACTGGTGGATTGCTTTTGTTCTAACCACCATTCTGGAAATTTGTTTCCATTTATATATGCAATCAATCTTCTCCTCTCTGCTACAGGTTCCAAGCTGCTCTCCAGGATAATCAGCTCTCTCAGAAGATCATGCTGTGTGACAAAATGCTCATTGTAGAATCCATCTTCTTCGATTTCCTCGTTCCTTGTAGACAAACAGAAAAGCATAAATATCATTATGAAAAAAAGAAAACAAAAAACACAGAAGGTCAAGGTCTGGCACATACCCTAGGCTGATAAGATTTAGCAGATTCTGCAGAGAGAGTCTATGCAGGTTGGCCATGGCGTGGATACCATCTTCGTCTAGCTCATATAATTCGGTCCATATGTCAATAAGGGCAGAGGCTGGTATCCTTTGGTCTTCAGGAAATGCTCCTAGATCCAAATAACACTCCTTAAGATTCATATCAATATCCTTCAAGGCTTCAATGCTGCTTTTTAGGCAATTGCGTAGAATGTTGCTGGAATCAAAAACTGATGTACCTGTGATAACACTGATTCTTGAAAGAACTTTGGATATTTTATTCTTAGATGTAGTTACATTTATGGGGTTCAAACATACAATTCGAAGGAACGGAACATAAATCAGATTAAGAGTTCAAAAACAGAACAAAAGACAAGACAAGAATCCTAACAAATATTTTCTGGGTTTTTCTTGGCAGTTTCTGCTAGACTTCATTCCACATTAGGACTCTGGTTTCTGAAGCTGAACATAGAGTCTTGGGTTTCTGATTTAGTTTAATTTTTGTGTAATTGTGGGACAAATCCACATCTATATCCATTACAGTACCTTTGGACAATTTCAAAGCTTGACTCCTCCAGACAGCTCGAGGCTGCCCGCGGAGTGACCCGCCAACAACTTTAAGAGCAAGTGGGAATCCATTACAGGCTTTCACTATCTGCATTTTCAAAATATCACCAAATCAAAACTAGTCTCAAGATGTTAAACAAAAAACTTTGTTAATGTTACAAAACAGTTTGAAGATCAAGAAGAGTTACCTTTTCGACTGTGTCTTTATCTGGGAGATACGAGTTGCCATCGTTCAAGATTGCCGAGTGACTAAACAGATTCATAGCATCGTCATGATTCAATGGCTTCAGATTATATGGTGGACCAAATTTTGGAAAATCAGATCTTGATGTCACCAGAATTTTGGAATTATGGGGCAACTGACATACAAACTCATCGAGAAGAGACTGTGATCTATCCCAAACATCATCCAGAACCAGCAATATAGGACACTCTCCTATTTTCTGCAGCAATAATCCCAACTGGTTGATCGCGTCATTCTCATCAACAAGTTCAGGTACTTCCCAATTTTTATGTTGGAATAATCTTTGCACAATCACCTCTATATTGGGTAATTCTGAAAAAGTTAGAAAAAATATGTTCTGATTCCCAAATTTTTCTTTAACCTCTTCATCTTGACAAAGTTTCTTAACCAATGTCGTCTTCCCACAACCTGCTGGAGCAGACACTACAATCACTGATTTTTCACTCCCAAAAATCTCCATCTTCAATTCCTCCAAGGGTAAATCTAATCCAACTGTTAGTGGCGGAGGTAGAGGAGCAGAGCAGAGGAACCCACCTCCATTTTTTTGCTTATTGAAATCTTTCAAAACCAGTAGAGTCTCCTTCTGATCCCTGGCTTGCTGAAGTTGCAGATTTACCTGTAAGAGCTTAGTTATATTCTCATCTAGCTTTTCAAGCTTCTTTGCGTAATGGGCCTTCCTGAAGAAATCAAAGCTGCGAACTTTTGAGCACTTTCGAATAAGTTCTTCAGCTTCTTTGATCTTGTCTGTTAAAGCTTTCAGTTCTTCCTCCCGTTCCAACTTTTGGTTGATTGATTCTATTCTCTTGATCAATGGGTCTACTGCCCTGGTCGTGGACTCAAAGCGCTGAAAGTGGATTTGAACTTGGAAGCAGAGTTTGCTTCCTCAAGTATTGCTGTTAGTGCCTCGCCGAACACTGCACCAACTGCTGCTCCTCCAAAGAGGTCCGCCATGAACGACACCTTCAATCTTTACCACCAAACCAGGAAATAGAACCCAAGTTTTTTCTTTTGTGCTTCAATCTGAATTCTGAGATAATGTTAACCAGACCAATAGATCAATATAACTATAAAAATTTCCTAGACAGTAAGTTTGGAAATTTTCTAACGTGAAAAACAAGGTGGTGGGGAGTTGTAAGAAATTTGTGGAAGGTGGTCTTAATGCTTGTTTGTAAAGTTTTAAACTTTTAATCTAATGATGATTTTGCACACTTTCATCACCAATGAAAAAGAATGGAAGAGAATGAAGATGAATATTGAAACAGAAGCCCTCTTGCTTGCTGAGCTGCATAACGTCTCTACTTTTGCTAATTTCCAGCATCGCAGTAAGAATTCATAGCCGATTATTATTATTTTTTTACTTGTAAAATTTTTTTTTTAATTTTATTTACTCCAACAATGATTATATAGTAAATTGCAAAATTTGGATATGTTTGGAACAAGATTTAATTTCTATTTTTCAGAATACTTTATAAAAATTACATTTAATTAATTAAAATAGCTACTTATTATGAAAAGCTAAATGTATAAAGTTTATAATTAATGATAATCAACAAAATGTTTAAATGTGTTGTAAAAACGCAAATTACTCATATAATCCCTTGATTAAATGAGCTTAAGTCAAATACGCAAGTTCATAAATTTGAAATTCAATTAATTCTAAGTTTATCAAATATTTGGATGTATTAATTCATTATATATGAAGATTCAAACAATATGATCCTACTATTAATTATAAAAATCAACAGTGATTTTAATATTTATCGAACAACTCTTCGTAATAATATTTTTTTTAAAAAAATAAAAAATAAAAAGAACAACTCTTCATAATAAATTAACCATGTATGTTTTTATCCACTTATATGCATATAGAATCAGAAAAAGTATTTTGTCAAAATATAAAAATTTATAATGTTTAATGCACCTATTAAATTGTTCTTTTATGAGGGTGTCTGATTTTGTTTTAGAATTTAGTGGATTTGTTCTAAGTTTTAATGAAATTCTATCAATTTGTTGAGTGTTTGAACTTTTAATATTCATTTTGCATTTGATCTACTAAAAGTTTTAATCATGAATATGTACATTTGATGTGTTGAATAACTTAGGTTTTGAATTCTCCTGCTTAACTGCTAGGAGATTTTGACCACGAATTTGAATACTTAATTGTTTTGAAACGATTCAAGAAATTGTGTCTTCTTGATTAAGAAATTGACAATTTTAATCACTTGATTGCTTAATATCCTGTTTGAATATATTTTAATGATAAATAATTCACGTATGACAATGACAGTAAGTAAACGATAATGACACATGATGAAAATGACAAAATTTTTTTATGTTTAAATAATTATATATTAATATATGTTAATGATAACTATTTGTTTGGATGATAGGATGATATAATTGTATTTTCAGTCAAATTACTAATTTATTTCTATCTATTATAAGTAACAGGAAATGATATATAAAAAGCATATAATGAAAAAAAAAATTATATAAGAATATAATTAAATTTGTATTTAAATAAATAATTATTATACATAATTAAATTAAAATTTTATATTTAATAAAATAAATAATTATTATTTATATTATTACATTAATTTAATTTTAATAAAAATAAAATTATTTATATATTAAAAATAAATAGATTAATTATATATTATTATATTAAATTTAATTATTTTAATAAATAAAAAATTAAAATATATTTGAAATAATCATGAATTAATTTGAAGAAATGAGAAGAGAAATAAAGTTTTTATTTGAGGGTGTAATTGAAATTAAGTATATTTTAGAAAGGTATAATAAGAAAAAAAATTACATGCCGATCACGTACCGTCGATTTAATAGTTTTAAAACTCATTCTAAATTTACCGGTCGGATACTATTTATTACTATCTCATCTGGTTGAAAGTTGAAATAAACATAATTTTTTTATGCTTTTGAAATACCATACGTTAATTAATTATTATTTACTATGATTCAAATATGTCATAAAAATTTGATTCATGAACTCGCTTTTTTTAATCATAAGTTCATTTTTTCTGTTTAATTCAAACCTGCATCATGATATTTTGTTTGAATGCTCAAACGAAGATATGAGACAGATGATCCTTCTCGCTCTCTTTTTGCCATCGCCGTAAGAATGGCAAAGTTTCATAATAACATTCATTAATTATAAATTTTTTTTTTTTAGACTGAACTTTTTAGTAAATAATAACACAATTTTTTATTTAATTCAAACATTTCTTTTGACTGATTCAATGAAAGATTGTAAAGAAAATGTGATGTCTACAAGTTTGTTTGCCATATCTACATGACTTACTGGCCTAAAGATTACAGTGACGTAATAACTAAAAGGGTTACTTCCCTCCAAATAAAAGAAATAAACATGGTGCTGTAATATGTGGATGCGGATTAGGAATAGTAATTTAGGATTCTGAAAAATCATCACTCAAGGTAAAGCCAGTTTAAATTAATGTCTTCTTCAATTACCCTTATCTGCAGATTTTTAAAATAAGC